TATGTATGTATGTATGTATGTATGTATGTATGTATAGTTTTAATTTGTGTATACTTATTTGTAGGTTCAGTGCCTTTGTAGATCTGCCTATTTATTTCTTCTGGAATTTTGTGGTTGGTTAGAATGAGATCACAATAGACTAAATATCTAAATTGGCATTGATTTCACTACATACTGTATCCATCTGGACTTTCTACCCGCCAATTTCAAGAGCACTCACTTTGCTGACCCAGAGGGGGTAAAGCTCCCAGTTGTTGCATATGTATAATGTAGCGCACCAAAGTTTAGTTGCTGGATTACTGATAACATTGCTCATTCTGCTTCTTTGCAATGGTGCTTAGTTGTTACACTGCTGGTAGTGCTGATAATCCGATCGTGTGCGCGACAGGGCACTGGGTTCTGGCACAGAGATGAGAGACTTTCGGGTGCCGCCCAGAACGGCGAGTATGATTCGGGATACACAGAATTGCTCAATGATGGTGAGAAGTAAGTGTTACCGAACCGTGCATTCACAAATCCGCTTTATATACCAAAGATCAGATTATGTCGGCTGGAATTGACGAGTATGCAGGTCTCCTGTGTTCTGCCCTACATGTAGAGACGCGTGCACGATCACCTGTCGTATACATAGTTCGTGCATGCCATCTTTCGTCTTCTCGACTCAATATGTGTTGGTATATCGTGTTCCTGTTCCTAAGCTCATGCCTACGGCCAATCGTAATAGATACGAATGTCAGCGTCACTCCGTGACCTCCTCGATTGGAGAGCTTAAACTTTTTTTCTCTGCCTTTGTACAGCAGATTGTTAAGCCTCATTCGCAAGAGCTGTTTGTGAGTCGAGGTTATCTTCTCATATTTGCGTCCCCTTTTTTTGTAGCAGGATTAGGGCTTCCCGCACGACTTTCAAGCGGAACCGGTCCTTTCCAACGGTGATGATGCCTTTAATTGACGAGAGCGATATGCATGACTCTGATCCAGACAGGTATATTTGCAGGCGTCTGTAGCATAGTTTGCTGTGCTCCGTAGTCTATTGAGCAGGAAAGGGTTGCGACAGTAGAGGTGTTACGGGAGTTGTGTGCGTCACCTTCTCGTAGGAAATAAGAGCTCTATGTTGTCATACGCACCACTGTGTGTCATACGCACCACTGTGTGTCATACGCACCACTGTGTGTCATACGCACCACTGTGTATCATACGCACCACTGTGTGTCATACGCACCACTGTGTGTCATACGCACCACTGTGTATCATACGCACCACTGTGTGTCATACGCACCACTGTGTGTCATACGCACCACTGTGTGTCACTATCGCCGACCTACGTGGTCGTACCCTACGTACTACGTGGTAGTCCATAC